CACAACCCGTCCAGTCCCATTCACAGTTACCGCCGGCCTCCCTAGTGCCTGCTCCTTCTCCCTACACTGGTCCTACTGGAGGTCTTGGTGAGCGTCGTGCGTCTGCGTCTCGTCCTGCATCGCCTGTTCGTGCTGCTCGCACTAGTGGTCGCGGTTCCCGTAAGCGTCCTCCTCCTGTCCCTGTCACGCACCAGATGTCTCTGCGTCCGTCCACTGCTCCTCTGCGTGCCCCTTTGCCTTCTCCTCCTGAGTCCTCTCTTCCTGCACTTGCCGACCCTGAGTCGGACTCTCTTCGTGCTCCCAGCCCTACTATCACGGGTCTCCTTGCTACTGTCGTCACTGACCCCTCCTTTGAGTCCACTGCTGCGTCTGCACTAGTTGTTGAGCTCGTCGACATGGCCGCTTGGTGTCGTATAGACTACGCTGCTAGTCTTGTTGCTGAGTTTGCGTCTGTCTGTCCTCCGTCCATCGGGGGTGAGTGTGCTTTTGGCAAGGACGTCCTTGAGGACAGGCAGGAGGAGTTCCAGTGTTTGGCTGCTGCTTCACCTCTTCTCGTGTCCGTACTGGTTACCCCTGAGGGAGACCCGGATGCACTTGACATCTCGACTCCGCGCTCTTACGCGGAGGCCGTAGAGGGTCCCTACTCCTCTCAGTGGCAGGCAGCTATGGATGCAGAGATGGCTTCCTTGAAGTCCACAGGCACCTACGTTGACGCAGTTCCCCCTCATGGGCCAACATCGTCAGTGGCATGTGGATCTTCAGGGTGAAGCGGCCGCCAGGTTCTCCACCTGTCTTCAAGGCGCGGTACGTGGCTCGTGGCTTCAGTCAGCGGCAGGGAGTTGACTACTTTCAGACCTTCTCTCCCACCCCGGAGATGACCACTCTTCGGGTGCTGCTACACATAGCCGCTCAGCGTGACTACGAGCTTCACTCCCTTGAATTCAGCACTGCTTTCTTGCAGGGTAGCCTGCACGAGGAGATCTAGCTGCGCCGTCCACCTGGCTTCACTAGGACTTTTCCTCCTGGCACCCAGTGGAGCCTCCGACGGCCAGTCTACGATCTGCGCCAGGCACTGGGAGAGTGGCACGACACACCGAGGACTACGCTTGCGGCTCTTGGGTTTGCTCCCTCTACTGCTGACCCGTCGCTGTTCCTGCGCACCGACACCTCTTTGCCGCCGTTCTACATCCTCGTGTACGTCGACGACTTGGTCTTTGCCACTGCTGACACTGCTGGACTCGCCCACGTGAAGTCCGAGCTGCAGAAGAGACACACGTGCACAGACCTGGGTGAACTGCGCAGCTACCTTGGCTTGCAGATCACCCGGGACAGAGCACGCCGCACCATTACCTTGACTCAGTCACACATGGTGCAGCAGGTCCTTCAGCGCTTCGGCTTCATGTACTCCTCGCCTCAGGCCACTCCTCTGCCTACTCGCCACTCGCTCTCAGCTCTGCCTTCGAATGAGTCCGTAGAGTCGAGTGGCCCGTACCAAGAGCTTGTTGACTGCCTCATGTACCTGATGACCTGCACACAAACTGACCTTGCATACCCTCTGAGCATTCTTACATGCTATGTTGCTCCTGGGAGACACAGACCAGAGCACATGGCTGCAGCGAAGAGGGTGTTGCGCTACCTGTGCAGTACGTCGGGCATGGGGCTAGTGTTTGGAGGGCGACGTCGAGTGGTCCTCACTGGGCACGCAGACGCTTCTTGGGCTGACGACCAGGCTACGCAGCGGTCGTCACAGGGTTACACCTTCAGCCTTGGTTCCGTCTCTGTTTCGTGGCGGGGTACTTGCTCGTCTTATGTTATCGGCTCCAATTGTGGGGCTGAGATCTACGCCGGAGCCATGGCTGCTCAGGATCTTTGCTAGCTCACCTACCTGCTGACTGACCTCGGAGATTCGCCTCGTTCTCCTCGAGTGCTGTACGTAGACAACAAGGCCATGCTGGCCTTGTGTCGGGAGCAGCGCCTGGAGCACAGAACAAAGCACATTGCTCTCCGCTACTTTCTTGCTCGTGAGCTGCAGCGGCGTGGTCAGTTGCGACTTGTTTACGTGGCCTCTGAGGCCAACACTGCTGATATCTTCACTAAGGCACTTGCGCCTTGTGATCATCAGCGCTTCTGTACTCAGCTTGGTCTTGTGCTTGTCTTGCCTCACTTGCTCACTTCTTGACCTTGTTTGTACTGTCACACATATATACTCCTGCTCTTGCTTGTTTCGCCATATATATATATATATATATATATATGTGTGTCCTGCATGTGAACTAGACGTGTGGCCTTGAACTTGTGCTCGGAATGTGTGGTGACTTTGTGATCCACCCTGAGCTTTGCTTAACTGGTCTTGTGACCCCTTGTTCTCCCCCACTTTGCCTATGGGGGTGTGTCTGATTTGTATGACATAGCTGTTGTAGGCTGTTGTGGGGTAGCACATATGGGGTACAACTTTCTAGGGTTGTATTTGTACCCAACTTTCACTTAGTGATTCCATTCTCGTTCTAAGTTTCTCACGACTTAGTCAAACATCGATTTCTGGTACGTAAAACCGGTTCCGTGTTTTTCGCTCCCCCTCGATTCGGTTTTTCTGGACGCATTGATGTCAGGCATGGAGGGCCAAGGCGACAACTACACGACTACGAGCAACATTGGAGCCTCCATACCGTCATGGAGCAGACGAAGGCGACGCTTCGTCGACTCGAGGCTTTTCTGACAAGCCAACTAGGGTTCGCCACCGCAGCGACTATAGTACCGACAACTACTACAGCAATGGCGACACTGACATTTCACGGACCAATGGCACCACTGTCGCTGAACCTCGAAGCAGCACGACCGAGGCTCCAGGAGGCGTTCAATCCAAGCGCGAAGAGATCCGATGTCTGACGATTCGTGGCCACCCTCGAAATTTACTTCGAGGCCATTGGCTGTTCGACCCCGCAACACGACGCAGCAAGGATTCGGCTCGCAGCAACACTATTACGTGGACCGGCTCTCGAATGGATTTACTACACCGACGTAGCCCGCGGGGAGAAAACGTGGCAGCGGTTTCGAGCAGATTTAATCGAGCGTTTTGAACCAATTAATACAACCTATATGGCGCGGCAGCAGATACACCAACACAAGCAATACAGTAGAGTAACACAGTACACGGAGCAAATGGAGTTACTGTTCAACCGCATCACCGACCTGACCTAAGGCGAAAAAATCCAGGCGTACACCGAAGGGTTAAAAATGGAGATTCGTCGAGAGGTGATTGCGGCGGATTACAACAGCTAAAGAGACATCGTGCGTGCTCTCGAGCGCTGACTCGAGGTCAACCCGAAACTCAACGCTTCACGCCGAACCGTACATTCGGCACGGAGCGATTGGCACCCCCCACGTTCGCCTAACTGATGGATATCGACACATACGATGCGAAACAACAGCCGACAAAATGCGAATTTTGCGGCGCAACAGGACATCACTTTTTGTCGTGCTACAAAATGAAGAAAGCACGTGAGGCACTCCCTGACGGAAACAGTGGAGCACCCCCGAAGTAAAAAAACGGGAATCGCCAGTAGGCGCGGATCGACCTGGCGATCGCGTAAAGATCCGAAAAGCAGGAAAAGGCGACGACGTGGCGACTTCGGAGCAGGTGAAAAAATGAGAAAATGATGGCGTGAATCTCAAACGTCACGACCGGCCAGCATCAGGGGAAATCACCGAGGCGAATGAAGGCTCCGCGAAAAAAGACTCTGCAGCGACCGGGAAACTCCAGCCGAACACCCACGAAAGTAAGAATTCGTTAAAAGTATCCTATAAAGATGCTCTAACGAAGAATATTGCTTCTCGTGGTTTTCAAGCCTTCAAAAAAATCAGGGGAGGTTTAGAGAACCAAGAAAAAGCCTTGAGAAATTATTGAGGTACCTGAGAAGTTGGGCAAAGTACTACGGAGCGTAGAAAAGGGTCGTGCGTTCCGTGGCGTTAATATTCTCTCCCCGCAGCACAGTGTTAAGGCTCCTCGTTGCCCACAGGTGAAGCCTACACAGCAGCCAAGGCTTAGAGGAGACACCCAGGCTCAGGAGAAATCATACAAGCCTCGGAAAAATCCTCCTACCCCCCAGGTGAAGTTGGAAAGCGCTGAGTCAGGTATAGGAAAAAGGGAAAGTATTAAGTTTGATGTACCCTATGATCCTATTAACGAGACGGAGCTGACCACGCTGCTGCAGCTCACGAGCCAGGAAGTAGCGGAGATCAATGTGCTTCGTTCTGTGCTCCAGTCTGTGCTCCCGACACAAGGCCAGCATGGCCTTGTTGTCTACGTACAGAACTGGAGGAGAACAAGGCGGCTCTCCTAGGTTAGTCAGCAGGTAGGTGAGCCAGCGTAGATCCTGTGCAGCCATGGCCCCTGCGTATATCTCAGCCTCACAGCTGGAGCTGAGAACAAAAGACGAGCGGGTAGACCTCCACGAAACAGAGCCGGAGCCAAGGATGAAGGTGTAACCCTGTGACGACCGCTGCAGAGCCTGGTCGTCAGCCCAAGAAGCGCCAGCGTGACCTGTGAGGACTACTCGACGTCGCCCTCCAAACACTAGCCCCATGCCTGACATACTGCACACATAGCGCAACACCCTCTTCGCTGCAGCCATGTGCTGTGGTCTGTGTCTCCCAGAAGCAACATAGCATGCCAAGATGCTAAGAGGGTATGCAAGGTCGGGTCGTGTGCAGGACATCAGGTACATGAGGCAGCCAACAAGCTCTGGGTACGGGCCATTCGACTCTACAGACTCATCCGAAGGCAGAGCTGAGAGCGAGTGGCGAGTAGACAGAGGAGTGGCTTGAGGCGAGGAGTACGTGAAGCCGAAGCGCTGAAAGACCTGCTTCACCATGTGTGACTGAGTCAGGGTAGTGGTGCGCTGTGCTCTGTCCCGGGTGATCTGCAAGCCAAGATAGCTTGTCAATTCACCCAGGTCTGTGCACGTGTGTCTCTTCTCCAGCTCGGACTTCACGTGGGCGAGTCAAGCAGTGTCAGCAGCGGCAAAGACCAAGTCCTTGACGTACACGAGGATGTAGAACGGCGGCAGAGAGGTGTCGGTGCGCAGAAACAGCGACGGGTCGGCTGTAGAAGGAGCAAACCCAAGAGCCGCAAGCGTAGTCCTCAGCGTGTCGTGCCATTGACGGGGCGCTTCGCAGAGACCGTAGACTTGCTACCGGAGGCTCCACAGGGTACCATGAGGAAACGGCCCAGTGAAGCCAGGAGGGCAGCGTAGCCAGATCTCCTCGTGCAGGCTATCCTGCAGGAAAGTTGTGCTGAAGTTAAGAGAGTCATGCTCGTAGTCGTGCTGAGCAGCTATGTGCAGCAGCACCCGAAGAGTGGTCATCTTCGGGGTGGGAGAGAAGGTCTGAAAGTAGACAACTCTCTGCCGCTGACTTAAGCCACGAGCCACCTAGCGCGCCTTGAAGACAGACGGAGAACCTGGCGGCCGCTTCACCCTGAAAATCTACATGCCACTAACGATGTTCGCCCCAGGTGGGGGAACCTCGTCGACGTAGGTGCCTATGGACTTCAAGGAAGCCATCTGTGCGTCTATGGCTGACTGCCACTGTGAGGAGTAGGGACCCTTGATCGCCTCAGCGTACGATCGAGGAGTCGGGATGTCTGGTGCATCTGGGTCTCCCTCAGGGGCAACGAGCATGGACACGAGATGAGGCAAAGCAGGAGCAAACACTGGAACTCCTCCTGCCTGTCCTCAAGGACGTCCGTGCTAAGAGCACACTCACCCCCGACGGATGGAGGACAGACAAACTCAGACTCAGCAATAAGACTAGTAGCGTAGTCTCGACGACAGGTAGCTGCAAAGTCGACAAGCTCAGCAACTAAGGCAGACGCAGTAGTGGACTCAAAGGAAGGATCAGTGACAATAGTAGCCAAGAGACGCGTGATAGTAGGACTAGCAGCACGAAGAGAGTCAGACACCGGGTCAGCAAGAGAAGGAAGAGAGGACTCTGGAGGAGACGGCAACGGGACACGCAGAGGAGCAGTGCAAGGACACAGTACCATCTGGTGTGTGCCGGGGACCGTAGGAGGACGCGGACGTGTAGTACGACCACTCGTGCGAGCAGCACGAAAAGGCAACGCGGGACAAGACGCAGGCTCACGACGCTCAGCAAGACCTCCTGGAGGACCTGTGTAGGGAGAAGGAGCAGGTAGAGGGGAGGCGGGCTGTAACTGTGACTACAAGTGGACAGGCTGTGGACGGTCTAAGGGAGGAGCAGGACTAGTAGAGGTTGGGAGACCAAGAACTTGCTCCAGGAGCGGAATGAAGTACGGCCTCGGCCGGGCAGCGCCTCCAGAATCAGCAAGGACGGCACCAGTACCCCCAGCGGCAGCACCAGCGCCAGCAGCACCTCCAGCTCCAACAGCGCCAACTCCAGCACCCTCAGAAGCACCAGCGCCTGCAGCACCGCAAGCACCAACACTTCTAGCAACTGCGGCTCCAGTAGAACCAACTCCAGTAGGACCGTCAGCACCAGCAGCCTCAGCAATACCCCGAGACGCACCAGCAGCAGTAGAAACACCAGCGCCAAAACCCGCAGCAGCTCCACCTCCAGCAGCACCAGCACCGACAGCAGCTCCAGGAGGACCAACTCCAGTAACTCCAGCAGCACCCCCAGACTCAGCAGCACGTCTCCAGCGGTGGGCAAACCACTCGCGCACCTCCTGTAGAGAGAGCGGCTCCCGCCTCGACAAAGCATCGCCGTCGGCCACACGAGCAAACCCAGCACCCCCGAGCTCCGCACCCCCACGCTCAGCACCTCCAGGCGCAGCACCCCCAGGCTCAGCACCCCACGTCTCAGCACCCCCAGACTTACCACCCCAAGTCTCAGCACCCCCAGACTCAGCACCTCCAGATCCGGCACCCGCAGGCTCAGCACCTCTAGCAGCACCAGAGTCAACAGCTACCTCGACAGGCTCGACTGCGTCTACCTGGGACACACGTGACGTGGCAGGACCCTGAGGGAGGAGTGGGTCTAGCTGGGTAGCACCGGGCGCAAGGAAGAGCGGCGGCGGGGGGAGGGGCGCAGTGCGGTAGGGGAAGAGACAGTAGTAAGGCACCGACTCGTCAAAGGTGACGTCCTGGGAGGACAGAACACAGCGCGAGGTGAGGTGGTAAAACTGCCACCCAGGCGCGTCAGGGTGAAGCCAAGGAAGGTGCAAGGAACAGCACGGGGGGACAGCTTGTCCGCAGACAAGTCGCGGACAAACGCACGAGATCCCCAGACCCAAAACGCAGACGCATCGCCTAGCTTCCTAGTGCACCGCAAGGCGGGGGAGGTCTCTGGCAAGGAGAACCAGGGCTGAAGGTTGAGCTGATGCGCGGCGTACTGAACCGCAAACAGCCACAGAAAATGGGGGGCAGCCGCATGCATCATGGACGTACGGGCGAAGTCCATGACCATGCCAATGCGGCGCTCAGCAATCCAATTTTGCTGTGGAGAGGCCGGAAGCGTGAAGGTCTGGCGGATGCCCTGTGCATGACACAAGGCTCCCAGACAGGCAGAGGAAAACTCCCCGCCTCTGTCTGAGTGCAGACTCAAAATAGGAAAGTCCGAGCCGAAACTCTCCTTGAGCTGGAGACAAGCTGCGCGGATCTAGTCGATCAACACCTCAGTGACGTCACCCTTGCCGCACAAGGGGAAGACTGTGGTGTAACGCGAGTAGTCGTCAACCACCAGCAGGAAGTACCGCTCGCGTCCCTGCCCACGGACGTGGGCTGGGCCCCACACGTCCATGTGGAGAGTCTGCAGTGGAGCCTTTGTCGGAGGAAACTCATATGAGTGAGGGGCACCGTGCTGTCGCCCCTCGACGCAGGGGACGCAGGTAGGGTTAGGCCTTGAAGGAAGGGGAGGGAGAGACCGAGGGAGACCACAGACAACGACACATGAGGCCATGCCTCGGAGGCGAGGCAAGGAGGGGTGACCAAGGCGGTGGTGCCAAAGGAGAGTATGGTGGGACAGCAGATGACACGAGCAGGGAGCAGACTCAGGACCGGACCAGGACGCCGCAGCAAACACCTGACTCGACGCAGCTACCTAGGCAGACCCAGCAGGAGGAGGAGACTCAGAAGTAAGGGTGTACAGGCTCGACCTTGGCCGACGGGTGAACGTGGCCAAGTGTCGACCTGTCCGAGCACACGTGCAGTGGGTCACTCGCTTACTCGCAGGAGTGAACTGGTCAACCCCCCTATCTTGTAGATCTGCTCCACTCACCAAGTTCGTAGAGAACAAGGGGAGGTAGAGACTAGACAGGGTGCCAGAGGGGGCTGCCGGGCACGGTAGGACAGTGGAGAAGCTAGCAAGGACAGGACCCCCAGAGGGGTCTGCAAGGGAGACTGCAACCGGCTGACTGAGCGGCGTAAGTGTGGTGCGGTCTCGAAAGAAGGAGCGGGACGCACCGGAGTCCAAGGTGAAGGTGTGGAAGGCCTGAGCCGACGTAGTACCTGAGGGAGCAGAGTCACCAGCACCTGGGGCGGCTGACGCACCAGCACCTGGGGCAGCAGACGCACTAGCACCTAGAGCAGCAGCCTCATCAGCACCTAGCGTAGCAGCCTCAATGCCCGGTTCAGGCGGTACACACAGGTAACAGGCACCCTCAACACTATCAGCTACAGCATACATGGCAGCAAGAATAGCATCAAAGTCAAGACCAAAGATAGCAACCCCGGCCTTAGCCAGATCTCCCTAGCGAGGGATCTGTGACGCCCCAGGGAACTAACGACGCCACGCGTCCGTCAGGCGACCAAAGCAACGCTGGGTGGAGTGTGGGCCTCCGCACTGCTCACCAGTGCGGTGGCCGGTATGGAGAACGTAAGAGCAGGGACCAAAACCCCCACTGCGCTGGCGTGCAGTGTACCACTCACGAAGCTGCTGAGGGGACATGGTCACACCACTCCGCTGCTGCTGTTGGCGCTGACCACCACCGGCGCCACTCCTCGGCGCAGAGTCACGACCCGCTCCACCACCGCCGCCTCCGCTGCCGCTGCCGCCTCTGCCGCCTCCTCCACCTCCGCCTCCTCCACCACCTCCGCCGCCTCCGCTCCCTCCGCCACCTCCACTGCCTCAGCCGCCTCCACTGCTGCCGCCGCCGCCACCACCCCCGGCACCACTCCCACCACCACCCTTACTCCCTCCACTGCCTCCAACACCACCTCCACCGCCCCCTCCTGCCCCTCCAGCGCCCTTGCCCCCCTTACCCTTGTCGGTGCGACGTCTCTCGCTCGGGGCAGACGCAGCGCTGACTGACTCGAAACCAACGAGGTCGGCCGCAGCAGCAGAGGCAACAGAGGGCAAGAGGGGGGAGGGAGAACACCCCTCAAAGACGGGGGTGCGAGGGTCACCACGAGAGGCTCCTACAGCGAATATGCTCTTCTCTATCGCTAGGAGGGTCTTCTCGAGGAGGTCAATGGTGAGAGTGGTGGGGCAGATAGAGAGGAAGTGGTCTCTGACTACGCGTAGAGAGTCAGGGAGCCGGGTGACTATATAGTAAAGGGTGATGTACATGGGGGGGGGGGGGTTTCTTGGCGCAGAACTCAGCAGGAAGCGCAGCGCGGTAGCGAGTGTCACTAGTGCGGAGGTGCGTAATGAGGGCAGTGATAGTGGGAAAGGCAGCAAGGTCAGGGAAGAGGTACGGTAGCATGAGGCGGCTCAGTGCAGCAGTGGCAAGGGAAGAGTAGCGTGCAACTATAGCGTCGTACAAGGTCTGAGCACTCTTGTACTGGCTAAAGTGTGCACGCTCAGTGGTTGGTAAGTGGCGGCGCACAGCAAGGCGAGCAGCAGCATCGCGCGTGGCCCACTGTGAGCGAACAGTGGCGTCAGCATCAGCACCAGGGCAGGGGGGGCACTAGAAGTGAGGTCAAATAGCGAGAGGTCGTCTGCCTTATCGCACTGTAGGAAAAGCTGCAGATCATCTACCCAGACCTCAAAATCCACTGCCCGACCCTCAGTGTCGAAGGTAAGAACGCTAGGGGAGGCCATAACAGCAGTAGACAGGCAGTGAGTACAGTGGGGCAGGGCAGTGCAGTGGTTGAGACTATGCTCTTACCAGGCAAGTGGGGCGGTCGGGCGGCTCGGCGGCTCGGCGGTTTGGTGGCTCGGCTGCTCGGCGGCTCGGCGGTCAGGCGGCTCGGCTGCTGGGCGGCTCGGCGCTCGGGTGGCTCGGCGGTCGGGCGGCTCGGCTGCTGGGCGGCTCGGCGGTTGGGCGGCTCAGCTGCTCGGCGGTTCGGCTACTCGGCGGTGCGGGCGCTGGGCGGCGGGGCTGTAGGTGGCGGCAAGGCCGTAGGTGGCTACGGGGCCGCAGGTGGCGGCGGGGCCGCAGGTGGCGACGGGGCCGAATCAGGGCCAGACGGGGCCGTAGTATGGCCAGATGGGGCCGTAGCGGGGCCAGACGGGGCCGTAGCGGGGCCAGAAGAGGCCGTAGCAGGGCGAGACGGGGCCGTAGCGGGGCCAGAAGGGGCTGCAGCGGGGCCAGGCGAGGCCGCGGAGGGGCCTATACGGGGCCGCAAGAGGGGCAGACGGGGCCGTGAAGGGGCCGTAAGGGGCCAGACGGGGCCGCGGAGGGGCCTAGGCAAGGCCGCAAAGGGGCCAAGGCGGGGCCGTAAGGGGCCAGGCGGGGCCGCGGAAGGGCCAAGGCTAGGCCACGACGGGGCCGTAAGGGGCCTAAGTGGAGCCGTGAGGGGCCAGACGGAGCCACGGAGGGGCCTAGGCGAGGCCGCGACGGGGCCGTAAGGGGCCTAAGCGGGGCCGTAAGGGGCCAGACGGGGCCGCGGAGGGGCCTAGGCGAGGTCGCGACGGGGCCGTAAGGGGCCTAAGCGGGGCCGCGACGGGGTCGTAAGGGGCCTGACGGGGCCGTAAGGGCGGCGCGAGGGGCCGTAGAAGGCGGCGCGAGGGGCCGTAGAAGGCGGCGCGAGGGGCCGTAAGGGCGGCCAAAGGTGGCCACTAAGGGCGGCTCGAGGCGCTACTCGGGTAGGAGCAAAGCGCGCTCCGGGCAGGGAAGAAAAAATCGTGGTGGGCCCTAGGCAGCATTCCCACTCGGGAACCTGCTCGATACCATGACGAGAAATGAGAATGGATGAATGAACTATGAAACAGTTGGGTACAAGTACTAACCCTAATTGGGTTGTACCCCTTATGGGCTACCCCACTACAGCCTACACAAATGTATAAGCTATAATGTTCTGACATACGATGCACCAATTCTCTTCCCTCCAAAACCAGATGGCAGTTTACGGATGTGCATCGACTACCGCGCACTGAACAAACAAACAGCTAAAATAAAATACCCCATTCCGCTCATCGACGACTTACTAGACCAACCGCGTGGTGCAACAGTCTTCTCGAAGCTGGACCCACGGCCGGGTTACTGGCAGATCAAGATGGCGGACAACTCGATCCACAAGACGGCGTTCCGTACTAGATACGGCTCCTATGAATACTGGGTGATGCCGTTCGGACTCTGCAACGCAACAGCAACGTTTCAGGCGGAGATGAATCACATCTTACGACCCCTACTGGACGAGTGCGTGGTGGTGTACTTGGACGACATTCTCATCTACTCTAAGAACATGGAGGAGCACGTGGAGCATCTACGGAAGGTGTTCGAGATCCTGCGGAAAAACAAGTTCTACGTGAAGCTGTCGAAGAGCGACTTCGCCCTGAAGAAGGTGCAGTTTCTTGGGCACATGGTGAGTGCCAAGGGCGTACACGTGGACCCGCAGAAAATCGAAGCCGTCAAGAAGTGGAAAGTACCGGAGAACGTGAAGGAGATACAGCAGTTCCTAGGCCTCGCCAACTACTACAACAGGTTCGTACCGCACTACGCTAAGATAGCCGCGCCACTGACCGACCTACTTAAAAAGGATACGCCCTACAAATGGGATACCCCTCATCAGCAAGCCATGGAGCAGCTACAGACAGCACTGACTAGAGCGCCAGTACTCATCTTGCCGGATCCAGACAAGGACTACGTGGTGGGAGCAGACGCTAGTGACCAAGCAGTCGGAGTAGTACTGATGCAGCATCTTGAACGCAGTTTGCAGCCCATCGCCTACCTCAGTAAGAAGTTGTTACAGTGGAAGAAAGACTTAGCGGTAAGGAAGGGTTCAGGAAAGGTTTGGGTACCGAATTACGCCCCGCTACGGCAGATCCTATTGGAGGAGTTTCACGACGTACCATACGCGGGACATTTCGGGAGCAACAAGACGTTAGCAGGGATAGCGAAGTATTACTACTGGCCCGGGTTGGCAGCATACGTGCAGCAGTTCGTCACCTCATGCAACACGTGCCAGCGGATGAAGAGCAGCAAGCAGAAAAAGAAGGGTTACTTCAGCCTCTACCTGTACCGGAGCAGCCCTGGCAGGTCGTTAGTCTCGACTTCATCACAGGACTTCCTTCGACATCATGGGGGCACGATTTCATCCTCATAGTAATCGATAAGTTCTCCAAAATGGGTCACTTAATACCGGCCAGCGCCACAGCTACAGCTGAAGCAACTGCTCGCCTCTTCTTCGACCGCATCATCACCATCCACGGCATCCCCGCTACACTCATCCCAGACACAGACCCAAAATTCACTAGTAAGTTCTGGAAGGAGCTCACGGGATTATTGGGGACCAAACTTGCACTGTCTTCAGCTTACCACGCCTAGACTGACGGACAGACACAGCGACTCATTCAAGTGGTTGAACAGTTACTGCGCACAGCTTGCAAGGACGATGTCAGCCACTTGGACACAGAGTTACCGACCCTAGAGTTCGCTTAGAACAATGCATCACATGCGGCCATAGGGAAAACTCCTTTCTTCCTGTGTTACGGATGGGAACCACTCACACCACAGCAGCCAACCACACCGGCACACGTCCAAGCCGCACATGACTTCGTCACCACCATGCAGCAGCTATGGGAGAAGACTCAGCGACGTCTCAGCACGATGCAGAACTCCCAGAAGCAGTATGCTGATCGTCAGCGACGTGATCACTTAGTAGCAGTCGGAGATCAGGTGCTTCTTGACACGCGCAACTTGAACCTGTCTCACCTCCCATCCAAACTCCGGCCTCACTTCTGTGGTCCTTTTCTCGTTGAGGCACAGGTGACACCACTTACATTCCGCTTGCGCTTATCAGATACGTGGAAGATTCACAATACTTTCCATGTGCAGCTGCTGAAACCCTACAAGGACCCCAACCAGCAGTTCCAGGGACGGCAGCTACCGCCACCACCACTGGTTCTCGTACAGGATGAACCAGAGTGCGAAGTGGAGCGCGTTCTCACTCATCGGCGCCGCGGCGGCAAGACCCTCGAGTTCCTGATACGCTGGAAGGGATACGACCCCACTGAGGACAGTTGGGTTGCAGAAGCTAGTATGGGCAATGCACGCCATGCTCTCAAGGACTATCTTGTCAAGCAGGGTATATCTCACGCCACCCAGCTTTGAGGGGGGGACGTGTGAGAGTACGACGGCTTATGCCAGCTATGCTTGCTTGCCTTTACTTTATCATGCTATTTCTAGCATAGGATAATTATATGCATGCATGAATTGCTTGATTCCCTAGGCTAGGTGCTTTCCTATATTTTATTTTAGTTATAGCACCGAGCTAGGTTGCGTGCACCAAATTCTGGCTTTTCGGTTGCCAACAAATTGCCTTCTATCGAATTCGGTAAGGATCTGTTCGGGACGCTTCGCGACCCGCGGAACCTTCGCGTAACACCTGGTTACGGGGCCTTGTGTCGAGCCTATATATAGCCTCGTGTTGTACCCAGGTGATCATTCAATTCGACTCAATTCTCATTCTCTTTTCTAAGCTCGATCCTAGATCCTCACACCGCAAGTGGAGGAGTCGGCATCCTTCGCCGAGGTCAACGACTTGGTCGAATGCTGCTCCCTGCGCGACTTATTCTCCCGACGAGGACGAGGCACGGCCGATCTCCCTCGGCCTCCTTTAACATCGTCGTCATCAGAGTCACTGCGGTTGGGGCAGTCGAAGGAGAGGTGGTCGGGGCTGTGGTAGATCCAGCACTCCCGGCGCCGACTTCCTCCTCCACGACTGCCATCCGTGGCCGACTTCCTCTTGACGGCGTCCTTAGCTGGCTTCCCACCACTGCTTCTATTGCCGCCAAGCTGTCCGCGTTGTCCCGGTCGACCAGCTTGTGTCGCCGGGGCGACGTAGTTCGCTTGCAGCAAGAGCTCCGAGGACCGCTCGGCTTCCTGCATTGCCTCGTCCCACAGAATATATGAGGTCAGGGAGTCCTCGTTGAGCGTCGCCCGCGTGCTCGGCACCACTAACAGCCGTTTCAGTAGGTTGTAGCTGCTCGGGAGCCCCTTTAGCACGTGCGTGACATACCACGCCGGCGAGTACTGCACGCCGGCCATCCTCATAGTGGCGAGAAGTCGCCGAGCCCGGTTGCAGTAGTCGGTTCGCCAAGGTTGCAAGTCCATAGTGTGCCAAATCTGCAGCAAGTCGACTGCACAGCATTGCACCCGCAGGACAATGGTGCACCTGCTTCGAAGGTGCGTGTAGCTGGCTAGTGCACCGCTCCTCGTCACGTGCACAGCGCAGACGCCCTGCTCGACTCTTCGCCAGTGACTGCGCCCACCAGCCACGTCGGCCTCGGGATACCATTTTCGAGGTCAGCCTCGCAGGAACCACCCTCACGACTTTCGCACACATCGGCCAGGTATCTCGGTCGACCGGACAACCACGCCTAGTCGACCCGCCCTGTCTATCGCCGGCTACACAGGCCCGCCGTCCCCGGTCCGGCGTTCAGGCGTCCAGGAAGACGTATAGACGCCTAGGTCGGCGTCCAGGAACCCGGGACGCTGACCAGACGCCCAGGTTGGCGTCCAGCCTCCCAAGACGCCGTCTAGGCACTCAGGACGGCATCCGCCTCCCTCCAGCTCGGCGCCCTTGTAGTGGCCCCCATGCTCACTACTGCAGGCCGGCTGCATTCCCCACACACCCGACCACGAATTCGGCTCTGCCCAAGCGAGGACGGGGCCAAACAACACTCCCGTTGACAGCATCTGCCGTCCTTGAGCATCCGCCGCAGCTGCATCTGCCACCATTGCACCTGCCTGCTGCTGCATCTTCCGCTGCACCTTCAAGGGATGTTTCCTATACATGGTTTTTGCGGTAGGCAGTTAAGGGGTGTGCCAAAATATACTCATATATATTAATTGCCTTTATTGTATTCTAGTATAGCCATTCCTATCCAACTCTTAGTGGTAAATTTCCTTGCATTGTGTGCGTTGTATTCCTCACCCACCTTCTGGTCAATCGACTTCTTCCTTTCTCTCACTCATCTCATGGTTATTTTGATTTATTTTTCTTCGTCAGATCACACTACAGAGTAGAATAACCATTCCACACATCCACCTGTTCCACACAAGCCAGTTCGGCATTAAAGTCCACCGTTCAGCTGAGCTGCCTATCTCCCTATCAATCCGGCATGAAGCTCAGTGCATCTCAGCCCCCAAAATCTCGTCCTTCATGGACAACAAATCCCCCAATACTCGGGCCATGGAGGAGCAGGAGGCAGTGGGCATGGCAGTGCAGACGAACGCAAGACGGGCCATATGCAGCACACAAATTCTAGAGCATCTAAGTGAAGGTTCTTGAATTCTGCCATGTTGTTGGATGCCATCAATCGGGCCCACATGCTTAGGTACAACGACCACATCGATGTGATGATGCGGTGCCATGAAGTTTTTGGCAGTTGGTGCTACAATTTAGTGTACAGCGAATGCTGACAATACACCCAGGAAGTTTTCTAACCACTTGTACAATACGGAGCCGTTGATTCACATGTTTTGGACTTAGTGATTGTTTGAGGTTTTTCTACATGTCCTTTATCATATGAATAGCCTTGCGTGTCGTGATAACCATAGCATCACCACTCCAAAGCTGCCCAAGATAGAAAAAAATACCGTAACATCAAAGAGGTGTAAAACAAGTACAACAACTCATTTACTTATCACTGATTGGTTCTCACATTTTTATTTAATAATTATTTCTCTGTGTGCATGGATCATACATAAGTGATATGATATATATTAATAAACATACCTGCGCACGTCTGCATATGGAGCGACAATGGTAATATAAAGTGATAAAATAGGGCCTGCCATCATACTTGCCTTCTTTTGTAGGCATTCATATAATATGAATATAGTTTACCCATACCACTTGCATAAATGTCAACTTCACTAGCTCAACAGTTGTGAATCCACTAGATCAATATCGCGTACATACCTCATTCGCTGATTAATGTGTATTGGAATACGCTTCAGTAAGGTCCTCTGCGTTCTGATACGCTTTGTCCTCGACTTGAAGCGTTTGGGTAGGTTATCGAGTAGAGAATCTGTTAGAACGGACTTGGATGTTTTCAAGGCTGTGCCCAGGTTGCCTTGATGAAACAACTGCAATGCCATTGACTCGAGGAAGTTGTAGGAGGATTAGAGCAAGTAGTTGATCCATGGCAGTGACAATCGACGAATGTAGTCAGCAATACTCGTTTGACTACTGGAGCTTTGTCGTTGGCGGCTAGAGCATTTATCGCTTTGATTGTTCGAGCAGGAATATCCAAGCTATTACGCAGCTAGTGAGTGCTTCTAATCTACGGTCCACATCGCATCCTCTTCGAGTCGAGTTTAACGATGTCTCCTAACGCCGTAACGCGCCTTTCTGGCATCACTCACGCGTTTTGAGTCGACTCAGAACAGTTTAACACTGTCTCCTAGCGCGTAACGCGTCTTCCTGGTATCACTCACGCGGTCGCATTGCCTCTGGCATCAGTCACTTCATCGCATTGTCTTTGTTCTTTAAAATCTTAGCTTGAAAACGAATTCTCTCGAAACGACTTACGCGGACCACTCGAGGAAGGATCGTTAGAGACTGACCCGTTACCGGCTCGGTGTCGCATTTATCGTAAAATGAAACTGACTTTGCGGGTCCCAGCGACCCTGTCGGTGTTGTTAGCAGTGCTTCTGGCGCTTTCAGCATCGCAGTGGCACATCGCTGCTTCTTCGGAAACAGCAGTCACAGCAGCAGCAGCAGCGGCAGCAAGAGAAGCCGCATCGCCAGCAACAATAGCAGCAGCAACGGAATTCGCACCAGCATCAGCGTCAGGATTGACTGGGTCAAGAGGAACGATTAGGACAGGGTCAACTGGGACAGGGTCAAGCGGGTCGACAGAGTCAGCTGGGACAGGGTCCACTGGGACAGGGTCAACTGGGACAGGGTCAACTGGGACAGGGTCAACTGGGACAGGGTCAACTGGGACAGGGTCAACTGGGACAGGGTCAAGCGGGTCAACAGAGTCAATTGGAGGGACAGGGTCAACAATGTCAAGGGAGGTACGAGGAACAGCATCAGGTGGAGTCAGTGGTACAGTGCCAGCATCAGCGTCAGCATCAACACCAGCGGCACCATCACCATCATCACCAGCAGTATCACCACCATCATCACCAGAATTCCCACCACCACCATCGTCACCAGCAGTATCATCACCATCATCCTTACCTCCAGCATTGTCACAACAACCAGCACCATCACCACCAGCATTGTCACAGCCAGAACCATCAGCATCACCATCACCACCAGCATCGTCAGCACCATCAGCATTCTCAGCACCAGCATCAACATCAGCACCAGCATCAACATCACCATCACCACCATCAGCACCATCACCAGTTGCTGCGGCGGTTGCCGAGCCTCAGCTCCAAACCACTGAACCAACTGCCGAGCCTTCCCTCCCTGCTTCCAAGCATGTTTCCAAACCTGCTGCTGAGCCTTCTCTTCCACCTCTCGAGCCTAATGCCGAGCCATCCCTGCTCGCACCACTATCTTCGCCTGCCGAACCATCCCTTCCTGCCCTAGCACCTGCTTCTGAACCATCCGCCGCACCGCCTTCCGAACCACCCTCGGAACCTCCCTCTGGGCCTCCTGCCGAAACTCCATCCGAAGCACCTGACTTAGGTTCGGAAGAGGGCGAGGAGCCGTTGCCAGCCATCCCCGAGCCTAGCTCCCTGGTGTGCCAGCTGTCGGACTATACGAGAGTATCCGGTCCATGCCAAGGTGAGTAAAGGTGCAAGAAAAGCCTTTTGTTGTGTCCTTGTGCAAAGGTGAGTGAAGCCTCGAGACGAGAGAATGTTGTTCCCGAGCCTAGCTCACTGGGTCGCAGCTGTACCAGAGTATATATACGGTCCCTGCCAAGGTGAGAGAAGGCTCAAGAAGAGCGTTTCGTGTGTCTGTCTCAAGTTGAGACCCGTGTTAGGTTGAGGTCCATCTCAAGGTGAGACCTGTGTTAGGCTGAGGTCCGTCTTAAGGTGAGACCTGTGTTAGGCTGAGGTCCGTCTTAAGGTGAGACCTGTGTTAGGCTGAGGTCCGTCTTAAAGTGAGGCCTGTGTTAGGCTGAGGTCCGTCTTAAGGTGAGACCTGGTGTTAGGCTGAGGTCCGTCTTAAGGTGAGACCTGTGTTAGGCTGAGGTCCGTCTTAAGGTGAGACCTGTGGTAGGCTGAGGTCCGTCTTAAGGTGAGACCTGTGTTAGGCTGAGGTCCGTCTTAAGGTGAGACCTGTGTTAGGCTGAGGTCCGTCTTAAGGTGAGACCTGTGTTAGGCTGAGGTCCGTCTTAAGGTGAGACCTGTGGTAGGCTGAGGTCCGTCTTAAGGTGAGACCTGTGGTAGGCTGAGGTCCGTCTTAAGGTGAGACCTCTGGTAGGCTGAGGTGAGGTCTGTGTCAAGGTGTGAAACTGTCCAAGTTACGGTAAGTGTTTGATGTATCCCTCCCTATCAATGTGAATTCCCTGCCAATGAAGCCATAAGTTGCCTGCTGCTTCTCCCCCCTGTTTCATCCCCTCCTTTGCGCCCACCATTGCTGCTACAGGTCAGCAGCGGCGGCGCATCTATCTACTTCATCTGCTCAAGGTCCGCAACTGCACCGACCCCTCCCAGCCGAACCTTGTGTCTTCCCGTTTCTCCTGCTCCTCCATATTATCGCTCTTGCCCCTGCCCCTGTACCCCCACTACCCATCCCCAGGTCAGCAGAGGCGCATCTTCTCCAACAAAGCCCAACTGCACCGATCCCTTGGAGTGTAGTGGACCTCTCCTGCGTACCCCTCCTCCTGCTGCTTCCCCACACTGTCTCCCGCCTCTTCCTCTGTATTCCCACCATCCCTCTCCAGGTCAGCAGCGGCGCATCTTCTCCAACAAGGCCCGCAACTGCACCGACCCCTTGGAGTGCAGCGAAACCCCACCTGCTGCTTCCCCACACTGTCTCCCACCTCTGCCCCCACTACCACCACCCCTCTCCAGGTCAGCAGCGGCGCAAATTCTTCAACAAGGCCCGCAACTGCACCAACCCGACCCGTGCAATTGAAAACATGTTTCACCTCTCCTCTGCACCCACCATTGCTGCTGCAGGTCAGCAGCGGCGCATTTTCTCCAACAAGGCCCGCAACTGCACCGACCCCTTTCCCGCTGAGCTTCCCGTTTCCGCTCTGCATCTCCTTCACTCCAGGCCGTGTCTCTTTCCCCTGCCCCCACCACTCGCCTCCTCTCCAGGTCAGCAGAGGCGCATATTCTTCAACAAGGCCCGCAACTGCACCGACCCCTTCCCGCTGAACCTCTCTCCTCGACCTGAGCCTTGCGGTTGAGTGGCTCTGCGGTGCGATAGTTCGCTCTGCAGTGAGATGCTTTGCGGTGAGGTGCTCTGAAGTGAGTTGCCCTGCCCTGCAGTGAGCTGCGTCGGCACATGGAATGATTGACCTCTGAGGTGCCTCAAAAGTCAGGTGCACCAACCTCTCGCCTCGACCTGAACCTGCGGTGAGCTTCTGGTGGACCGTGGTTTAAGGGTATTAGGGTGAGGTGGTGGACTGCGGCTTTAGGGTTTTAGGGTTAGAATAAGGACCACGGCCTTAGGGTGTAGGGAGCGACCGAACAAGCTTTGAATATGTATCCCTAGACCTCACCCAACCCATACCGTGGTGGTATGATTTCTAGTATGTACGCCAGACCTGAGCCCAAATTGATATCATTGTATCATATCAACCGTAGGCCCAGGAGGAGAAGATGACTGCGTGGCACCAGACCAGACGACTGCACACCAGCACGGCGGCACGCACAGCAGAGGACCCGCGGGTACAAGTAAGGGAAGTGTCACAATGTCATGGCTGGCTGTGCGTGTAGTGGTGAGTCTATTTTTGAGTCGACTCAAAAATGTCATGGCTGGCTGTGTGTTCATCCATATGTGCATCCCATCCCACCCAATACCCATTGCATGGCATGACATGCCGTGACAGACATCTGTGCACACCCGTGTGTGTGCGCTGTGCCTGTGCCTCTCTCCTCCCGTACAGACTGCACACCAGAGGACTACGAGCGCAAGTATGTCAAGGCAGGCAATCACATGGCATTTTTCTAGTGCTGGACCGTGCCGTAACCGTGTGACCACGCCTGTGTGTGCGCCCTTGTCTCTCCTCCCGTGCAGACTGCACGCAGAGGACTATGAGAGCAAATACGTCAAGGCAGGCAATGGCAGGCGAGGGCCTGACAATGTGCCAGCGGCCGTATCCCATACCCATGTGTCTTCACGCCTGTGTGTTTGCTGTTGCCTCTCTCCTCCCGTGCAGACTGCACGCCAGAGGACTATGAGAGCAAATACGTCAAGGGAGATACAGGCCTGGCCGGTCGTGTGTTCATTCATGTGTCCCATCCCATACCCATATCCACATGTGTGTGTGTGTGTGTGCGCGCGCGCGCGTGTGCGTGCGTGCGTGCGCGTGAGTGTGTGTGTACGTGTGTGTGTGTGCGCCAATGTCTCTTTCACCCCACCAGACTGCACGCCAGAGGACAATGAGCGCAAGTACGTCAAGGCAGAGCACGCCTAGCAGTGTGTTAATTGGCCTTGTCTCACACTGCCTGTGTTTTGTTATGTGCCTCTCACACCCCGCGTGCAGACTGCACGCCAGAGGACTATGAGCGCAAGTACGTCAAGGCAGACAATGGCTCCTGCACCCTCTCCTTCCAGCCAACCAGTACGTACTCGTTTCTGAACTCCAGATTTGTTGAGCTTGATTCTGAAAATTCTAGCTTACTTTGAGGCGCCCTCAAAAAGTCCTCTCCTTCCTGCCAACTAGTACCTACTCGTTTCTCAACTCCAGGTTTGCCTTCGGCTAACTTTTGCCATTTATTTTTGTGACTTTGTCTCATCTGCAAAAAGTTGGCTAGAAGATTCGCTGGGTGGATAGACGAGGTACAGAGTTGGTTATCGTGACTATAAGTCTACAGTTGTGACTCTATATGACTTTTGAAGATGCACAATCATGCACCATCCCTTGACTTGTCCCCGTTGCCCTCGCTTCCAGTTGCACTTTTGATGAATCCGAAACACGTTATGCTGTTGGGTGAATGGGGTGCTCTCGTTTGCTCCATGACACAGATTGTGATGGGGTGAATTCCAGCTGGGATAGTTCAGCTGGCATCTCTCCTTGTCCCTTTGTTCTCGCCTCCAGCTGCATTGCATCTAGTGTAAATCGATTTTTGAGTCGACTAAAAAATCTCGCCTCCAGCTGCATTGCATCTAGGGTAAATCCACAACACAACACGTTATGCCTGTCTTTGTCTATCTTGTTTGCCTGATGTCAACAGACTGCGAGGGAGGGGATTCCACTTGGAGATTCCTGCTGACCCTCTCTTCTGTGGTGAGCACACTCCGAGTAATCTGCTGCATCCTTGTTTCCTTTCTAGTTCCTCATTAAGCACTCCTTGTGAAATCAGCTCTTTGCTTCTGCGAGTGGTGGTGTGCATGCAGCATGGTGCCTGGTTTTCTTCGAGCTGCCTCTGCTGCATTGGCTCACCCTGTATGCGCGCTGTGTGCTCGCATCGCACGTGTGCATCATGCGTGTGTGTCGTTTGTGAGTTTGTGCATATGTTCCTCCTCCTGCCTGCTTTTGAGGCGCCTCAAAAAGGCGCCTCAAAAGTGCTCGCATCGCACGTGTGCATGCGTGTGTGTCTTTGTGAGTTTGTGCATATGTTCCTTCCTCCTCCTGCCTGCATGCAAATCCATCCATGCACATATCTAATTGCCTCCGAAACACGCATCCAATTCAAGCACCCAAATCCATGTGTCCGGATCCCACCGCTTAAGTCCTCACATGCACATGTTGATTGATGGGTAACTGATCTGCTGCACAGTTAAACCCAGTGGCCAGGCGACTTTTGATTTAAGATGTCTCAAAAGTCGCGTGCATATATGGGTCTAGGGATTAGGTATTTGCTGCCCAAGTCTATGTTGAGTGATCTATTGCAGGGCTAGGCTAGCCCAATTTCCAATTAGGGGGCTTGGGGGCCCCGATCTGATGAGAACATAACATTCTCATCCCATGACGAATGGGGGGATCCATGCATCAGATCAGCTTATAACATCTCCCATGATGTCATTAGCATCAGCATGGGGTTCAGCTTATAACATCCTCCCATGATGTTATTAGCATCCGGCATGGGGTTCAGCTTATAACATCCTCCCATGACCGCATGTTGATTGATAATCGATCTGTTGCAGAGCTAGCCCCGGTGCCATGTGGGGAGGGCAACATCCGCACCATCCATGGCAAGTGCGACTACATCAGAGACCCGCGTCCAACCAGCCCCTCAGCAAGGAGAAGACCATCCAGGCACGTGGTAACATGCGGTAACACACGGTAGCATGTGGTATGTGGTAGCTCCGGTGGGTGGCATGCATGTGGGGAGGCAACATCCGCACCATCCATGGCAATTGCGACTACATCCGAGACCGAGCAAAGAGCCAGCCCCTCAGCAAGGAGAAGACCATCCAGACACGTGGTAAAATGCGGTAACATGTCGTAAGACACTAGACAATACGTGGTAACATGTGGTAACATGTCGTAAGACACTAGACAATACGTGGTAACATGTGGTTACGTGGTCAAAACGTATGGTGCTGTCATGTTCCCTGCTGCTCGTCCGTCTTCTTCATTCACGCTTGCGCTTCCTCAGCATCCTCCCCCTCAGCATTTCAAGTTGTGATTTCAATATCCTTTTATATTTTGAGCAAAGTTCTTGAGGCGCGCCATCACCATAACATGTCATCATGTCACCATCACCATCACGATCACCCTCACATCACCCCCCTCCACATCACCATCACCCCCCTCCACATCACCATCACCCTCACATCACCCCCTCCACATCACCATCACCCTCACATCACCCCCTCCACATCACCATCACCCTCACATCACCCCCTCCACATCACCATCACCCTCACCATCACCCCCCTCACATCACCATCACCCTCACATCACCCGCACTCCCACTCATTCCCCACCCCAGGTGATCTATTACTTTGACAGCGGTTGC